GTCATATCGTAGAACTAGAGGCGATTTGATTACAGTTTTCAAATTGCTTAGTGATAGATTTGCACCTGATATGCCCTCATTTTTCCTGTCTTCCAAAACAGAGAATTTACGAGGGCACACCAAAAATGTCCACAAGCCCAGAACAAATTACTTGTCAGCTGATTATTGACTGTCCCATCGAATCATCAACGAGTGGAATTCATTACCTCAACACGTGGTTGAAGCTCCATCCGTAGATTCTTTCGAAAGAACGTTGGATCAACTGAGAGAACACAATTGCCAGGACTAACACAGGCCATCAAGCCTCCTGTCCTTTCCAAACTGAAACTAACTGATCTAGACTGGATAGCGATTGCAGGGGATGTTGAGCACGGCTTTCCCACATGTGATCTGGTGGTGAGTCCATTACAACTAATGTGGTCAGCATCCAATATCGAAAACTTACAGAGCTATTTATTTTGAGGATTTATTTACCGCTTCAACTGGAACGCCCTACTCGAACAAGTGGTATCATCCCCATCAGTGAATATTTTCAAAGAGAAGCTAGACATTAACTGGAAGACAACCTGTAAGAATCAACACAGGTTCACCAATATGATATCTTTGTTAGTGAAGACGGAAGACTGATTTGTTTTGAAAACCCAGTTTTTGTTTGGCGCTCATCAAACAGATTGAATACATGTGTTGACTGTAAGTGAGGTAGCTTGCTGTTATCGTTCCACTTTGAAATATATTGTCAATTAGCAGTATTATAAAAGCAGATTATGGAGGAATTACCTTTTTTGTAGTTTTTGCATGCTAGTAACTATACACGTTGTGGTAAATCGATATGGTACTACAGGGACCAGCAGGTTTCTTTACGTACGTAAAGAACATCTGTCGAAGTTCAAACAAACTATAGTAGGAAATAATAAGTGGTCATAGCCTCCTAAGAGTTTTAGTAAAGCGGATTATTGATACTTTTCATATACTAAATGATTTACATCGTGCATTGTCCAACCAGTTTAATCAACATAGAAGTGCTCATCAGTGTTTCATGGGTAGTGCTAGAAATCACGTTGAAACGAGTCAAAATGAACCTAGGCACATACTCGCCGTGAACTTTACCTGGTGCGCTTTTTATAGCATTTACAACATACCTTCAACCCAATTTTGGGGAAAATTTGACCCGCTTTGCGGAAGGCGCTGTTGAAAATTCTATTAACAGAATGCGTCAGATGCTAGCTTCGACTATCGCCGCGTTAAATGGTAAAGTGTTTATAATCCACAGTGTGCTGAGTTTCGCATTTTTTAAATCGTGATTTCCATCGATTTTGTGTCGGGAAGTCCCGATAAAGACTAAAGTTCACTTGATTTTTCCCATTTTTGATCATTTGTGTAGCAAAGATGCCTATCTTATCTCTGGCAAAATATGTCGCGAAATGACTCATGGTGATCCCTTACTTTTAGTTCCAGTCTGTGTTAGGTGGAGACAGTTATCCACTTCAGACAACGAGCGAAGAGTTGCACAAGATCATGGGTCGGTTGAATTTAGACATTAGCACCGTTTAATGTCGGCTCAGTTGTATAGAGATTAACCATTCGCGCGAGAATCCAAAAATCATGGGTTGGGATCCTGCGTATGGGATCGTGAATGGACGCTGCTCAGGAGTTCCAAACTGGGACGAAGTGGCCGTCTAGTAATTCCAGGTTTTCAGTGGTGGTCTAGCTTAGATCGACTCATAAATTCAGTCAATGAAATCTCATTTGTCCCTCCCGAATTATACTCTCTTGGTTTCGTTTCAACTGCTAATGGTCTAGTGTTTTGAAATATCCAAGCTATATTGTCCCTCGAGGCCATACTGTGCTAAAACATCTCAAATATAAAGTATGTCCTGAGGCATAAATATGATTCCTCTGACTTTCAGGCGTTTAAAACCGTTATATTATTTGACTAGCATCCAGCAATTCAGTCTTGCTAATTGCAAAGCAGGTTCTACAGGTCGAATCCCACCACTTCGCATTTAGAATTTTGTGTTAAGCTTCAAGATAAGTCTGCTACTTTGCGTGATTACCTCTAGACTGTCCCGCGTCGCCTTTGCAGTTCGTCTGACAAGTCGACTTAACTCCTAATAATCAACTGACACCTAGTGTTAATTATTCTTACAGTCAACAACATTCGAATACACTCCGTAGCCCATCTAAAACAGCAGTAGTCGAATTTTGTCCTAACTTATTTTAGTACGCCCAAAGTCGTTCATGGTATGTTGTTAGTCGTTATTAGTAACATTGTTACATCTGCGTTACATTTTGATTATTATTGTTTCTTCCTGGCTGCCAAATCCACATATAAACACGTTGCTGTCTCATATATAACATATAAAGTAAATAATCATATGTATTTGGTGCCTCCTTGTACCAATATTTATGTGTTAAAACAGATAAATAATAATAATCATGCTCATTCACATTGTATACGTGTTGTGAAGGTAACTAATGCACAGTTAGTCAGACGTTTTAGGATTACAGTTAGTAAGGCCCATTATGCAATTTAACATGTGAGGTAAAAGCGTTTTATACTTATGAAGCTGTCAATAAGATTTGATCACAGGTGCCTTAGAAACATTGCGGGTATCTGCTGGGATCACCGGGTAAGTAATAGTGAGGTTAAACGTAGGGTATTAGGGAATGATGGTAAATCAGTTGATGAGGTTATGAATCTTCATCGACTGAGATGGTTGGGCCACGTGTTGCGTATGCCTGAACACCGATTACCACGACGCGCAATGCTGACTAGTGCAGGGGATAATTGGAAGAAAGTTAGGGGCGGCCAAACCAAAACGTGGCATCAGTGCTTGAAGTCACTAACTTCTGGGCTGAGCCATGTTGGGAGATTCAGACTGCCTGGTTGGGGTCCGCGTGACTATCGTAACCAATGGTTGGAGACTCTTGGTGACATGGCTCAGAATCGATCACAATGGCGTCGGTGTATACACTCTCTGTCTTCCTTTAAACTAAGAGATTAAAATCACTTCAAATCTTTCTTTCTACGAACTAATTCTATCTTCCTGTACTATATCCTTATACACACTCTTTCTTCTATATATTACCACCACTGAATTAACTACTTCTATGAATCCGGTGTTCATCTTGTTGTGCTAATGCGGTATGGCAACTTGGACCGATGCATATACGTGCCTGGTCCTACGTTGCAGCTGACTGACTGACTGACTGAATAAGATTTCAAGTAAAAACAGTCATGAACTCCTTATTTCGACTTTGATTATGCTGTTAGACAAAACTGAAGCAAAGAATGGTACAACGTAGAGTCTAGAACATATGCATCGGTCTTGGTTGGTACCAGTCATTTCAATGTTAGTCGGAGAGAAACGAATATTTTCCATAAGCAGATAGTTCATCATGGTTTTAGTGTGTGGGCTGAGATACTGCCCGGGTGCCCAAACCGAAGCAGGTGGTTTTCTTAGGGGGCCACACCCCGAGCCTTTGACCTAAAGGTCTAGTCCACAAGGCAGTGGAGCATCGTGAGGAGATGCAGTCCCATGGTAGCCGGTGACCAACGATTGGTTCATACGCCATTTGTTCCTTCAGGATACTGGAGCCCATGTGCACCATAGAATTGGGATCCGGTTATAGCGCCGGACGTTCGCTTTTCGTCCTCTCATTTTCGTAAACAACACTCGTGGTGCGAGAAGGCAGTGAGTAGGACTTCCCTGGCAGAGGCTGTGTACGCGTGGCCGTGTGAGAGTATTTCGAGAGGGAGGGCGAACCCCCCCGCTCTCGGCCATACCAGGGCATTTGGGGGCCTAGGTTGGTACACCACATATTTTATTATTTATTTGTTTGAGCACATAGATATTGGTACAAGAAAGTCCCAAATACATATGCGTCACACAAATCTCATTTGATATATGTGAAGGCTGTGATACTACCCGGGTATCAAACCGAAACAGATGGTTTTTTTAGGCGGCCACACTCCGAGCCTTCGACCTGAAGGTCTGATTTACATGGGAGTAGAGAAACGTTAGGAGATGCAGTCTTATGGTAGCCGGTGACCAACAATTGGTTCATACGCCATTTGTTCCCCAAGGATACTGGAGCCCATGTGCACCATTAGTTTGGGATCCGGTTAAAGCACCGGACATTTGGTACACTACATGGGCACGACGTGACGAAATTATCAAGATAAAGCCAAAAGCAGTTGTGTCACTGATGGCGAAAGTGATAAATATCGGTCAAATAATCAAACTTGTTCCATCGATATAAAAATAGACACTACTACATACTGTTATGTTTTGATTCTTTTTCCTTTCCAAATTCTCCATTTTGTTCAGCACGTCAACAGATTTTAAAATCAAATCAACATTCATTCCGTTTACTACGATTTAAGCAGTACGATATTATTACTTTTCACTTGACAGTTCAGCTTTGTTAATGGATCTGTAGAACGTGTCACGTTTAATAAGTGCGAATAACACGTAGCACATTATTACTTAATTACAATAATGTCAGTCTGCTTTTGTACGTTGCCTCTTAAGCACTTTATACATTGATGGATTGGATGTTACGTAATAGGCTTTATTAACCGAATCGTTTCTAAATTTTTTTTTTATCTAAATGAAACGATTTTTAAACAATCGTCAATCCTTACGATAAGGGGAAAAATAGATACAGCTATTCAGCTGAAGTTCGTATTGGCAAGGATATTCATGTTAATTTAAAGACATTAAAATCCTTGAGAAAATTTCCATTTCTAGATCACCAAATTACAATCATTAAAGTTATGTCAACATCACGAGGATTTTGTTCCATATGTTCTTATGTAAATATGTAAATCTACAAAATGCAACACTACTGTTACATTAATTTTTTAAGGTTCATGTCAACTGCTTCCAAAATCACTCTGGGAGTTTCGTGTCTCTTTGCATTGTCGGCATTCGCAGGTGTACATATTTCTCAAGCTCTTGAACGTGAAGTAGTTTTCTCAAATTACTAAACTCAAGTTTGTAGAAGCTTGGTGAGAACGTGCGCCGTGAAATAGAACGTGAAATCCAAGAAAAAAAAAGTTCCGTATCGTATGTTTCTTTGCATAGCTATATGTTTTAGATCTACCAGCAATGAACAACTCGATGGCTCTAAGTGATACAAAACTAGTATCTGATGAACATTGTCTTTCTGTCAGCGTTTCATTCGACAATCCAAGCTTCGCAGAAGTTGCCATGCGCTCACTTTCCGTGGATCCTTCTCCTCCACGTTCTACAGTTAAAGAACAATTAAATCAAAAGGGGTCCGACCTCATCTGTACATTTTCTGCCCCTGTCACTGTTAGCAATAGAAACCAGCAGTTACGAAAATTACGTATTGCTGTTAATAGCTGGCTTGATCATGTCATTTTGGTTTCGGAAACAATCAGTGCGTTTGGAACAATGAACTCAAATTTTACATCTGAGCGAGCTATTAATGGCTTTTAATTAGTTTTATTAGTTTTCTACAATACAATCTAGTAATGCATATCAAGTTTTTGATTTGTACTCATAAGGCCTATAACTAGACAATCTCTCCCTTTTTTTAAGCTTTTTTTCTATCATGGAGTATGATAACGTTTTCCTGAGTGTTGCACAAAGCTGTGACAATGGAGTACAGGGATTACTAGACGCCTTTTTCGGCTTCCTTTCTAGACGAACAGATTTTTATTATGGAGCTACTGAAAAAGACGCAAAACGTTTAGTTCTTGAAAATTTTGCAAAACACCGCGTAAGTTTCTATTTTTAGGGTTACAGTTCTCTAAAAAAGTTCATGTTTTCTTTAACTGTATCTTCGATGCCCAGTATTACTACGCATAATATTACTTTTATTTATTTATTTAATTTAACACATAGATATTGGTACACGGAGGCACCGAATACATATGCGCCACACAAATCTCATTTGATATATGTGAGGGCTGTGATACTGTCCGAGTGCCCAAACCGAACCAGGTGGTTTTCTTAGGGGGCCACACTCCGAGCATTCGACCTGAACGTCTGACCCACAAGGCAGTGGAGCATTGTAAGGAGATGCAGTCCCATGGTAGCCGGTGACCAAAAGTTGGTTCATACGCCATTTGTTCCTTCAGGATACTGGAGCCCATGTGCACCATTGGTTTTGGATCCGGTTAAAGCGCCGGAAGTTCGCTTCTCGTCCTCTCATTTTCGTAAACAACACTCGTGGTGCGAGAAGGCAGTGAATAGGACTTCCCTGGTAGAGGCTATATACGCGTGGCCATGTGAGAGCATTTCGAGAGGGAGAGCAGACTCTCCCCACTCTCGGCCGTACCAGGGCATTTGGGGGCCTACTATTACCACCTTTATCACTCTGACATTTCTTGTGACAATGTTATTTATGATTGATTAATAAGTTCAATGCAAAGTGTACATAGACTAAAGCCAAACTACAGGAATGTTATGATAAATGTATAATAAACAACTGGCTGAAAATGAGCATAAACATACTCAAAAGTTGTTAAACACTGGAATTTGTCTAATTATATGTAAATACCCACAAAGGATTATTTGTATGGAGAAAATATCGATCAGTCGTAATCAGTATAGATCCCACATGAACCTTCTTTAGCTAGTTGCCACATCATAATACAACGACAAAGTCAGCGAAATGAATAGTAGCAAAGGAGTAGAAATAGTTGTAGTCTCAGCAACAGTTAAAAAGATTAGATCTCGAAAATGTGGTTCGGAGGAACACGTAATCATAAAAAAACAAGTAATTTTGGAATTTCCTTGGCTAAAACCTTAGAATCTCTTACGATTGATGTATGCTGTGTCTCCGAAACACGCATACAGGATCCTAGTGTGGTCATTCACTTGACCTCACCTCGGCAAAACGGAGAGCCAACGAGATACACCCTCCGTGTATCTGGCGACCCGATGGCTAGTTCTCGTGGACTGGCAGGTATAGGCATAGCACTTAGCATGAGGGCGGAACAAGCGCTATTAGAGTGGATCCCCGTTAACAGTCGTCTATGCGCTGTTCGGCTAAACGGCTCCGTAAGAACTCGGAAGGATAGGGACACACGTCGTTGCCTTTTCGTCGTTTCTGCCTACGCTCCCACTGACTGCAGTTCCGATGAAGTGAAAGATGAATTTTACAGAAAGCTGTCTGAACTTCTTCAGAAAGCTAAACGTTCAGACATAGTACTCGTAGGAGGTGACTTTAATGCCCAGGTAGGTAGCTTAAACGAAACAGAAAGACGTTTAGGTGGGTATTTTAGTATTCCGGCACAGCGAACAGATAATGGTGATCGTCTGCTGCAACTGTGCTCAGACAATCGTTTATTTTTAGCAAACACAAATTTTAAGCATAAGGAGAGACATCGTCTAACATGGCGACCCCCTGCACCAAACCAACGATGGACTCAAATAGACCATATTGCCATCAGTCATCGTTGGAGAGGGTCAATAGAAGATTGTCGCTCATTCTGGGGTACCTGCTTGGACTCTGATCATGCCCTAGTACGAGCACGCATCTGCTTGCGCCTCACTGGACGCAAAAGAGCCACACAAAAAAGACTCATTAGAACCGAATTGAGTAATGAGAAAGCCAAAAGTAGGTTCCAGGAACAACTGAGGTCACACTTAGGTAGTTCTGAAAACGAGACTGACCCAGATGTTGCTTGGAAAGTTATACAAGCAGCTGTGGAAACAGCAGTGACATCTACCAGTGATTTAAACCAAATGGTTACAAAAAACCAATGGATTTCGTCAAGGTCTATTGCACTGATAGATTCTCGCAAACTCATCCCATCAGGTTTTGAATACGATGAAGAGCGTAAAGAAATCAAATCTAGATTAAGCAAAAGTCTAAGGAATGATCGTGAGCATTGGTGGGCAACGAAAGCAAAAGAGATGGAAAAGGCGGCGGCTATAGGGAACACAAGACAACTCTACAGACTAATAAAAGAAACTGGAATTAATAAATCAAGTGTAAGTCAGACCATTTCGGAAAAAGACGACACTCTCATCTGCTCCCAGTCCAGACGCTTAGAACGATGGGCGGAACACTTTAAGGAGCAGTTTAGCTGGCCTTCAGCTACTCTACAACTACCCTCTATTCCCAGACAGTGTGAATGGAACATTGAAGTAGGTCCCCCAACTCTTGCTGAAGTTCAAAAGGCTATAGCTAATCTGAAACGAGGAAGGGCAGCTGGTCCAGATGGATTGGCCCCAGAGGTCTTTAAGGATGGTGGTCTAGTTTTAGCGATAAGGTTGACTAATATTTTAGCTAAAATCTGGGAGTTAGACGTTATCCCATCTAACTGGTCACAATCACTTATCGTCCCAATATTTAAGAAAGGGTCAAAATCATCCTGTGACAACCACAGAGGGATTAGTTTGACTAATATAGTATCTAAAATACTAGCTTCGATAATTTTCGGACGCCTAACTAAGACTCGTGAACTGCAAACACGTGAAAATCAGGCTGGCTTCAGACCTGGTCGTGGTTGCATCGACCACATATTCACCATTCGTCAGGTTCTAGAACACAGGCATACTTATCGGCGTCCGACAATGGTGGTATTCCTTGATTTAAAAGCAGCGTTTGACTCTGTTGACCGAGAGGTTCTGTGGCAGTGTCTGTCATTGAAAGGCGTACCTCAGAAGTACATAAACCTTGTGAAGGCTCTTTACTCGAACACTACTAGTCGAGTCAGAGCTTATGGCGAACTGTCATCTGCTTTTGCAACCTCAAGTGGCGTCCGTCAAGGCTGTCCACTTTCTCCTTTTTTGTTTAACTTCATCATAGATCTACTGATGGAAATAACGCTCTCATCGACTGACTTCTCGGGTATTGATCTCCTACCAGGAGGTCCACTTATTGACTTAGAATACGCAGATGACATAGTCCTGTTTGGTGAAGACGCTGATGAAATGCAGAGTCTTTTGGTAGCACTGAGCAACAATGCTAGAATGTTTGGGATGCGCTTTTCTCCCTCTAAATGCAAGTTGTTGCTTCAGGACTGGTCTGCATCAACACCTGAACTAAGGATAGGGGGTGAAGTAGTCGAACGCATTGACAACTTCACTTATCTTGGAAGTCTGATCAGCCCTAATGGGTTGGTGTCTGACGAAATCTCAGCACGGATTCGAAAAGCTCGCTTGGCCTTTGCCAACTTACGTCATCTATGGCGAAGGCGAGATATCCGTCTATCAATTAAGGGACGAGTATACTGCGCGGCAGTTCGTTCCGTCCTTCTATACGGCTGCGAAACATGGCCTTTAAGAGTGGAAGATATTCGTAAGTTACTGGTATTTGATCACAGGTGCCTTAGAAACATTGCGGGTATCTGCTGGGATCACCGGGTAAGTAATAGTGAGGTTAAACGTAGGGTATTAGGGAATGATGGTAAATCAGTTGATGAGGTTATGAATCTTCATCGACTGAGATGGTTGGGCCACGTGTTGCGTATGCCTGAACACCGATTACCACGACGCGCAATGCTGACTAGTGCAGGGGATAATTGGAAGAAAGTTAGGGGCGGCCAAACCAAAACGTGGCATCAGTGCTTGAAGTCACTAACTTCTGGGCTGAGCCATGTTGGGAGATTCAGACTGCCTGGTTGGGGTCCGCGTGACTATCGTAACCAATGGTTGGAGACTCTTGGTGACATGGCTCAGAATCGATCACAATGGCGTCGGTGTATACACTCTCTGTCTTCCTTTAAACTAAGAGATTAAAATCACTTCAAATCTTTCTTTCTACGAACTAATTCTATCTTCCTGTACTATATCCTTATACACACTCTTTCTTCTATATATTACCACCACTGAATTAACTACTTCTATGAATCCGGTGTTCATCTTGTTGTGCTAATGCGGTATGGCAACTTGGACCGATGCATATACGTGCCTGGTCCTACGTTGCAGCTGACTGACTGACTGAATTTTGGAATTAATCTAAAAGAAAACTATATGGATATGTGCCACTAGACGAATTTGGGGCCACAGTTATTGAGTGATCAAAATTAATGTGTTCATTCTTGGATAAATTTAGTTGTTATGACTTCACAATCTGCGAAAGAGCCCGATTTATTATAGTTAAAATAATTAAAGGTGCGGATCAAGTCATTTATCTAAATAGTTACATTACTCATCAAGTCGTTAGATGAAATAGCTTGAAATCGTTCCAAGTGGCGTGAATGCATCTACTCTTTGTCTTCTTTTAGATCCTAAGCTTTACAATTACCTAGTAGATATTATCGCGCGAATTCATTTTTTCTGCTCAAATTGTCTGTGCCTAATGTTTTATACTACTATTACTACTACTACTACTACTACTCACACTGTTACTACCCCTAATACTTTGTAATTTCTGTTGACGATTTCATCTCGCTGTGCTAATGTAATGTAGCAACTGGAACCGATGCACATATGTGCCAGGTCCCACGTTGCATATGACGGACTGTTTTCGATCGTATATTGAGGAAAAAATTTGTCGCCGGTAGCTACTCACTAATCTGTTTTATCCTGTCAGCGTTTTGTCGTGTCACAGTAGTTCTTAGTTTACAACATTCATTCAAACGAGTAACGTATATCAAACTTCTACTTTATGACTCATGCAATATTATATTGTTTGGGCACGGAGTTAACCAACTTTAAGTGGGACAGCATTATTCGCTTGTAAAGTTCCAGTCGTTTTTCGTTGCACAGTTCTATACAGCCGGCCTATCTTAACGGCCCAATTTTTCCAACAACCGTGAACCAACGTGTGAAGTACCATTCATGATACTATTCCCTGTACGAAGATTTTAGTCATATGTATTGCTTTGATTGTTAGACTGTTCATCACTGCTATTCAAAGGCATTTGATGTTTTTTTTTTCCTGGGAATAAATAGGATGCTGCCTTAGCACGTCGTGAAGAAGAGAAGAAAGAATTACATGAGCGAGATGAACGCGAACGTAAACGAAGAGAAGAAAAAAAGAAAGAAGCCATTAAGGCGAATCTTGCCCCTCCAAAGGAGTTAAGCAAAAGTTAGTGGTGTTTTTTGTCAATTGTAAGCAGTACAATAGATATGAGGAATGCAAATTACTAAATTTGTACGTACGTACATTAAAATTTTAAGTCATTTTCACTACTATTTAGAATAAGGTTATCAATCAGTTTGTTCAAAGTAAACCTAATGGATTGGAGTTCGTTTACTTACCTTATGTAATGTTATAAAATCAGTAAACCATAGTTACAGTTGTGTAAACTGCATGTATAATAGAATGATTGATGCCATTAACTTCCAACTGATTAGACGTCAACATCTGAAGGGAAGCACGGGATACAGTGGACATATAGAATGCAATTGGATGATCTAGACTTCGCAGATGATCTGGCAATTCTATCGCAAACGCAACAACAAATGCAGGAGAAGACAACCAGTGTAGCTTCAGCCTCAGCAGCAATAGGTCTCAATATACACAAAGAGAAAAGCAAGATTCTCCGGTACAACACACCATGCACTAATCCAATCACAATTGACGGAGTTTCGGAAGATGTAAAAACCTTTACATATTTGGGCAGCATCATTGATGAACACGGTGGATCTGATGCAGATGTGAAGGCAAGCAAGAGCAGCGTATTTACAACTGAAAAACATCTGGAACTCAAAACAATTGTCAACCAACACCAAAGTCAGAATTTTCAATACAAATGTGAAGACAGTTCTACTGTGTGGGGAGGAAAACTGGAAAACCATGAAAGCCATCATCCAGAAGATATAGATCTTTATTAACAGTTGTTTGCACAAAATACTTCGGATCCGTTGGCCAAACACTATTAGCAACAACCTACTATGGGAGAGAACAAACCAGATCACAGCGGATAAAGAAATCAGGAAGAATCCCTGGAAGTGGCATAAGACACACATTAAGGAAAGCACCCAACTGCGTTACAAGGTAAGCCCTCACATGGAATCCTCAAGACCAAAGGAAAAAACGAAGACCAAAGATCATATTACACCGGAAAATGGTGATAGACATGAGAAAAATGAACAAAAATTGGATGGAATTAGAAAAGAAGGCCCAGGACAGAGTGTGTTGGAGAATACTGGTCGATGGCCTATGCTTCATTAGGAGTAACAGGCGTAAGTAAGTAAGCTTAGTATAAACTTCTTGTCAAACCCTCTTAAAATGGTAGTACTTGGAAACACTAGGATATATTTTTCAAAATCAATCACAATACCACAAGGATTGAAGCATTTTCTACATTAGATCTAGCATTTCAATAATTCTATAGACACGCACCAGAACATTGAGTAGTAAAGCTTTATCTATTATCTTTGCTGTCGCTTTTTTTTTTAAAGAAAACAGCAAGTGTTATTACTGGCTTTGTGTAATATTTAGCTACCTGTTCATCAACTCTTTCTGTCTAATTTCTTCTTATTTTCTATATCAAAAGCTGATAATTTAAATGGTACAAGTGAAGAGCCGTCAAACATACCTACACTACCACAAACAGAAACAAAGCCATCACTTGAGAAAAGTGATTTGCCTAAACCAATCAAAGTTGGTTCTTCTCCTGATGATGATGAAGATGAGGAGGATAAGGGAAAATTAAAACCGAATGAAGGAAATGGTGCAGATTTGCCAAATTATAGCTGGACTCAGACATTGAGTGATGTTGATATTAAAATTCCAACACGCGTAAGTTTTCCATGGTGATCTAGCTTCAATTGATTCATGATTTCAACTATTGATATAGTTGTTTTTTTGTTCATTTGATGACTCATTCCAAAAAAACAATTATCATGAAGATACGATTAGCGAATGCGTGCTCAATAAATGAGCTGAATCTTGATTCTCCGCAACAATTATCTATCCTATGCTTGAAAAGTAATTTTTTTCACTATCAGCTCATACCATTCTAATTCATTTTACTATTTTGTGATATTTGAATGGAAAGAAATTGTAAAGATTATTGTAGTTTGTTTTGTAAAATCAGTCAGTCAGTAACAACTTGGAACTTCGTACGTACGTACATCGGTTCGAGTTACTATACCACACTAGCACAGAGATGTAGTTATCGATTCAAATCCCGTAGTGGTAGAGGTAGTGAAAGTATAAGTAGTGATAGGGAACATTAGGGTTTGATGATGTTATTCAAGGAGTATAATCCAGTGGAATAGATTTGGAAAGAAAATAAAAGACATGAATAATTCAGAAGATTAGAATTTGAGAGAACACAAAGAGTGGGATGCACCTACTCCATTGCAAACGATTTTGAGCCATGTCATTCAAGGTTTCTAACCATCGGTTGCTATAATTTGTTTTGTAAAATAAAAAGTGCTTTTAGCGAATCTTTCCCCCAACCTAACGTAATTAGTTTTACGATTTATTCTGTTTTCATAATTAGTTACCACATTCCATTAAATCTCGCGATGTCTATGTTGAAATTGCCAGAAAACACATCAAAATTGGCTTAAAGAATCAGGAACCAATTTTAGCTGGGAATTTGTATAATGAAATTAAGGTAAGCAATCATTCCTCATTGAATATTTTATTTAGGATTTGCTTTACTTTTAAACTATGAATAGGAACTATTCAGTCAGTCAGTAACAACGTGGAACTTCGTACGTACGTACATCAGTTCAAGTTGCCATACCACATTAGCACAGAGATTCAGTTATCGATTCAAATCCCGTAGTGGTAGAGATAGTGTAAGTATAAGTAGTAATAGGGAACATTAGGGTTTGATGATGTTATTCAAGGAGTATAATCCAGTGGAATAGATTTGGAAAGAAAATAAAGGACATGAAGAATTCAGAAGATTAGGGTTTGAGAGAACACAAAGAGTGGATGCACCTGCACCATTGCAAACCATTTTGAGCCATGTCATTCAAGATCTCTAACCATCGATTGCTATCATCTCGCGGATTCCAACCAGGTAGTCTACACCTAACAACATAGCTCAGTCCACTTGTCAGTTACTTCATGGATTTGCACCATGTCTTGATCTGGCCGCCTCTAGCATTCTTCCAACCTACTCCTATACCATTGAACATCGCACGTCGGGGCAGTCGGTGGTTGGGTATACGTAACACGTGTCCCATCCATCCATTCACTACTTCATCAATTGATTTGCCATCCTTATCTAGTAACGGTTTCCTAACAACTGAGTTGCTTACTCGGTGGTCCCAGGATATACGAGCAATGCTTTGAAGACACCTATGATCAAATCCTAGTAACCTACCAATACCCCCTACTTTTATCGGCCATGTTTCACTGCCATAAAGTAGGACGGAACGAACTGCTGCGCAGTAAAAAGTCCTTTGGTTGATAGACGAATATCTCGTCTACGCCATTTGGTTTCGAAATCATGTTTAGATTCATTAATCAGACAATGAATTACAGTCCACTTTTCTATGATTCTCACTTTGATTACATTAAATAGAATGCTATTCATTTCTTAATATGCTGATAGCAAATCAAAGACAAAGACCACTGATCTACAGTGATAAACCCATCTATTACATGCATAAATCGAATAAAATTTATTTATTTATTTATTTTAACACATAGGTATTGGTACAAGGGGACACCAAGTACATATGCGCCACACGAATCTCAATTGATTTGTGTGAGGGCTGTGATACTACCCGGGTGCCCAAACCGAAGCAGGTGGTTTTCTTAGGGGGCCACACCCCGAGCCTTCGACCTGAACGTCTGATCCACAAGGCAGTGGAGCATCGTGAGGAGATGCAGTCCCATGGTAGCCGGTGACCAACGATTGGTTCATACGCTATTTGTTCCCTCTAAATACTGTAGCCGATGTGCACCATTGATTTGGGGTCCGGTTAAAGCGCCGAACATTCGCTTCTCGTCCTCTCATTTTCGTAAACAACACCCCTGCCACGTGAAAGCAGTGAGTAGGACTTCCCTGGTAGAGGCTATATACGCGTGGCCATGTGAGAGCATTTCGAGAGGGAGAGCAGACTTTCCCCACTCTCGGCCGTACCACACTATAATAATGAGGCTCCATATACTGTTGGAAATTAACTCCCTTAAGTGACTTTGAAAAGAAACAGTTTTTTGTTAACCCTTTAGTTCCTCATGTGTGTTGTAATATTACTTTTGTTAATGGCTCTCATATGAAGCACATAATCATTATCTGTATTTCACGGACAGCTTGCATAACCTGAAGTTAATCAACACATAAAGAAACAGATTATACCATTCATTCTATCCACTTTATAGATCTGTTCGATAGTATACCCTAAGTTATTTATGTTATTACTATTTACTAACAAATGTGAAATGCTATCTTTCTTAGACAAAAAAACAGTCAATTTCACCTTCTATGTATTTTGGTAGAACAATGAGAAAAACGGAGTTGATCTGAAAAATGGATATTTCCACCATGAACTTTAAACAATAAATACAAAGTAATTACTGAAAAGTAATGACATCATAATGATAAGAAAAGAATAGGAAGTTGTAACACCATACTGGGCCGAAAAATGAGTTAAAGGATTATCAAAAGCAATTTTAAAGTTTTTGTATGTATAAAAGCAGTTTGATGAGTATCCTACTAGTCAAGACATTTACAAATCTAAAAATTCGTTCTTAATAATTCATACACAACATTGTAAACGCTTCATTGAAGTCGATTTCATAGCCCATTTCAAATGTTTTCCTATCAATGTACATGGTTTTCTATTCCCTACGTTTTTAGAAGTATTCAATATTGATCCTGAAGCCAGTCATCTAGGTACATGTTCCATAACCCATGGTTGGATTATTCAATTGCTCCTCTCTATGTATGTGAATGATTAAATATTGTGAGATGTGACGCCATCGATTATATGATATCTAAACATGTCAGTCAGTCAATCAGCTGCAACGTAGGACCAGGTACATATATGCATCGGTCCAAGTTGCCATACCTCATTAGCACAACAAGATGAACACCGGATTCATAGAAGTAGTCACATCAAGGGTAGTAGTATATAAAAGAAAGATTGTGTATAAGGATATAATACAGGAAGAAAAAATTAGTTCGTAGAAAGAAAGACATGAAGCGATTTTACTCTCTTAGTTTAAGGGAAGACAGAGAGTGTATGCACCGAAGCCATTGTGATCGATTCTGAGCCATGTCACCAAGAATCTCCAACCATTGGTTACGATAGTCACGCGGACCCCAACCAGGTAGTCTGCATCTACCAACATGACTCAAACCAGGAGTCTAAACCTGTATGGGATCACGCCTGAAGGTTCTTCGATAACATTCTATTTAGCTTCTTAGTATTTTTTTCCTCGATGGTTGATTTTAGTCTGTCTAAAAACTATGTTATCTGACTCCAAGATAAAATTAACAAAAGTTTAAATAGTACTATGTGTTAATTTCCGGTTATTTATTTACTCTGAAGAAGTGACTTAAGTTAAGTCACGAAACAGAAGTACTATTCTCTAACAAAAAATATATTTATCAATAAATAGTTGAATTCATTATCCAAATGATATAGTAGGATAGATGTGTTTATATAAAACATAAAAGTATCGTTATGAACGTGAAAATTTATTCCATAAAACACTGAAAGCTTGGTGTGACTAAATTATTCAAATTAAAGATTCACTTACACCTGTTACTCCTCGTGAAGGAGGAGTATAGGTCGCTCACCAGCATTCTCCATCCAATTCTAACCTGGACGCAATCCCTTTCAGTTGTTATTCATCCTTTTCATATCTGATTCTATTTGCCAATTTAAATATTATCAAAATAAAAGGTATCAGCTAATTAAATGATTTGGTGTCGCTTTTTGGAATCATTATCACTGAATGATGCCCTGGTACGGCCGAGAGTGGAGAGAGTCTGCTCTCCCTCTCGAAATGCTCTCACATGGCCACGCGTATATAGCCTCTTCCAGGGAAGTCCTACTCAATGCCTTCTCACACCATGGGCGTTGTTTACGAAAATGATAAGACGAAAAGCGAATGTCCGGCGCTTTAACCGGATCCCAAACCAATGGTGCACATGGGCTGGCTCCAATATCCTTAGGGAACAAATGGTGTGTGAAACAATTTCTTGGTCACCGGCTACCATGGGACTGCATCTCCTTACGATGCTCCAGTGCCTTGTGGATCAGATCTTCAGGTCGAAGGCTCGGGGTGTGGTCCCCTAAGAAAACCACCTGGTTCGGTTTGGTCACCCGGGTAGTATCATAGCCCTCACACAAATCAATTGATATCTGTGTGGCGCATATGTATTTGGTGCCTCCTTGTACCAATATCTATGTGACTTTCAGCTACAATTTCTTTTGACTGTATGTAATTTGTAGTAAGTAGTATGTAAGTTATGGCTACGTAATTAACGAAAGAAAAGTCGATCACATTCCGCTTACTGCATTTAGCATAGTTTAATTTTATTTGAATGAGGCTTGTAGTTTTTTCTTTGCTTACTAGGTTGAAGAATGTGTATGGAGTCTCGTGGATGGAATCACAATACTTGTCCACTTAGAGAAATGTAATAAAATGGAATGGTGGAGTCGTATTTGTGATGGTGAACCAGAAATGAATACACGTAAAGTTCAACCGGAAAATTCCAAACTCTCTGATTTAGACGGTGAAACTCGATCTATGGTTGAAAAAATGATGTATGATCAACGTCAAAAAGAACTTGGTCTACCAACATCGGAAGATCAAAAGAAACAAGAAATGTTGAAAAAGTTTATGGCTGCTCATCCTGAAATGGATTTTTCTAAATGTAAATTTTCTTAAGTGTTATGTTCATTTGAATTGTTGACAAAACTCAATCTTTTTGGTATGATTACATTATCAAAAAAAAGAAAGAAACTTTTACATTAAATGTGGGTATTTTAATGTTTACAACTAATTTTATTCGAGGGAAGTAAGAATATCCAACTTGCTAATCATTTTGGTATAATTACTACTCCACTGCATATTGAAAGTTCTATCTAATACAGGGAGAAAGAATTAGTTCGTAGAAGGAAAGATATAAAGCAATTTTAATCTTGAGGTTTAAAGGCGAACGAAGAGTGTTCGATTCTGATTCATTTAACCCAGAGTCTCCAACGATTGGTTACGATAATTGCGTGGACATCAACCAAGTAGGTAAACTGCATCTGCCAACATGACTCAAACCAGAATCTAGTGACTTTATGAACTGATGGTACATTTTGGTTTAGCCATCCCTAACTCCCAACCATCCCCAACATTAGTCAGCATTGCGCGCCGGGGTAATCAGTGGTTGAGCATCCGTAATACGTGGCCTGACTATCTTGATCGATAGAGGTTGACAACCTCATCAACTAATATGTCATCATTCCTTAATCCCCGTGCGTCTAACCTCACTATTAATTACTCGGTGATCCCAGCAGATGCGAGCAATATTTCTGAGGCATTTGTGGTCAAATACTAGTAACTGACGAATGTCTTCAAATCTTAATGGCCACGTTTCACAGCCGTAAAGTAAAACAGAACGAAGTGACGCGCAGTATACTCGTCCTTTTATTGATGAACGGACGTCTCTCCTTCGCCATAGGTGATGTTAGTTGGCAAAAAGTTAAATGGGCTTTCTAAACCCGTGCAGAGATTTCGTCAGACACCAACCCATTAGGACTGATTACACTTCCAAGACAAGTGAGGTTTTCGACTGCTTCACTGCCTATCCTTAGTTCAGAGTTTGACGCAGGTCAGTCCTGAAGCAACAATTTTTATTTAGAGGGGGAGAAACGCATTCCAATCATCCTGGCATTGTTGTTCAGTGCTTCCAAAAGACCTCGTTTTATCAGCGTCTTCACCAAACAGAACTATATCATATTCGATAAGTGGACCTTCTGATGGGAGATCAATCCCCGAAAATCCAATCGACGAGGACGTTATTTCAAGTAGGTCTATAATGAAATTGAACGGAAATGAAGATAGTGGGCAGCCTTGTCGTACATCGCTTGAAGTTGAAAAATCAGATGACAGTTCGCCATTAACTCCGACATGACTGGTAGTGTTCGAGTAAACAGCCTTCACATAGTTTATGCACTTCTTAGGTACATATTTCAATGACATACGCCGAAGCCAGCCCGGTTTTCTCGTGTTTGCAGTTCACGAGTCTTTGTTGGGCGCCCGATAATTATTAAGGCTAATATTTTGGATGTCATATTAGTTAAACTAATCCCTTTATGGTTACCACAGGATGATTTCGACCCATTTTTCTGACTGTCAAGTATAACTTCACGCCTAAAGAACTCGGTTGTTTCTACCTAAAAGCATCTAATATTTAGGATTTGAATGTGACCAACTTGGTCTCGTGTGCTGTTACGGGTATAAGGGCTGATGTCACTTCCCGGCTGCCCACACCGTGGAAGGGTATTTCTTGAGGAATCTGAGAAAGAAATCAGATTAGTGTTGGTCTTAGCGACCTGGGTGCGTGACCGCAGAGTCCAAGGAACAACTGCTTGAGGCCGGTCGCGCAGGGCCTTTTTGTGGGAGGTTTTTAATGTGTTAGCTCCTTTCTTCAAACGGCCTTACCGCCGGAGACGGAAATCCGTGGGGTAAGGTGAGGTGCGACATTTTTAGGGTCAACCTTTTCTAACCCCTTCTTTCCTTGTGGGAAGGCCGCATCGCTGCAGATGCTGGTTGTCCGAGGGAAACACCTTACTGCTGTAACACCTCTGTACAGTCAGCAGTACGACTTCGCCCTCAGACCTTTATAGTAGTTGGGTTACAAATGTTTTCTAACATAATGGTGGTACTAAATGAATATAAACAGCTGCTAGATGATAACTCTTTACAGTATACCGTACAGTAAGAGGTAATTGTTAAGTCGTACTACCTAGTAAACTTCCAGTTTGTGGTTGTTCATGAATTCGAGAAACTAGTGTACTACTGAATAGTGTATTAATCCCCAACCTCTTATTGCAAACGAAAGCTATGATCGTATGGACCAGAGTAGCTGTATATACAAGCTAAAATCAATCCTTCCGGTTATTTCATCAATCAGGCTTTTCCAACCATGAAGTGTTCTATTTCCTTCGTACCAATTTCTTTATACTTAGTTAAACCGATGGCTTAATGCTTGAGATGTTCGACTGCCAGCCACCATGTCCTTCATTCGAGACATGCTCCACCTATCAGCCACATATTATAATTGACCCTCACACGTTCATTTCATTTCATTTCAACACATAGATATTGGTGCAAGGAGGCACCAAATGCATATGCGCCACACAGATCTCATTTGATATGTGTGAGGGCTGTGATACTGCCCGGGTGCCCAAACCGAAGCAGGTGGTTTTCTTAGGGGGCCACACCCCGAGCCTTCGACCTGAACGTCTGACCCACAAGGCAGTGGAGCATCGTGAGGAGATGCAGTCCCATGGTAGCCGGTGACCAACGATTGGTTCATACGCCATTTGTTCCTTCAGGATACTGGAGCCCATGTGCACCATTGGTTTGGAGTCCGGTTAAAGCGCCGGACATTCGCTTTTCGTCCTCTCATTTTCGTAAACAACACCCCCGCCACGTGAAGGCAGTGAGTAGGACTTCCCTGGCAGAGGCTGTATACGCGTGGCCATGTGTGAGCATTTTGAGAGGGAGAGCGGACTCTCCCCACTCTCGGCCGTACCAGGGCATTTGGGGACAAAAGTTATCTTCTGAATCAGCCACTTGTACTATATTAAATCCTAAGGTCTAGAAAGCAAAGTATATCACGTCCTATCGAAAATCTAGCACGATATTCAGATGTACTACATTCAGGAGTTTCAGTGTACGAGAAACATGTCTATAATCATTACAGGCAACAAATTGATCAACGTTGTACATTTGATTACTGGTCTCATTACTGCTTATTTTCCATAAAGATTTTAACCATGTTTAGGCTCACCGGGCTACCAAAAGTCACTACATTGATATGACGACATAAAACCTGGTACATATGTACATCGGCTGAAGTTGTTATACCCCATTAGCATAGAGACGAAGTCGTCAGGCCAAATCCCAGAGTAGTAGAGGTAGTGACATTATCAGTAGTGATTGTACGTAGATAAAGAAGAATAAGTTGATAGAATAAAAAAGGGTTTCCAGGAATTCAGAATTCCGAGAAAGGATGGTCCTGCGCCATTGCAAGACTTTAAGCCATGTCATTCAAAGCCTCTAACCACTGGTAAAGACAATCACGCGGATACCGACCATGTAGTCTATATCTAAAAACTCAGTTCAATGGTCGTTGAATGTCATGTCCCGGTTTGGTTGCCTCTAGCTTTCTTTTAGCCTACTCCTACACTAAACAACAACGCCCTCATACACAATTAATGTGATTCAAAGTCGAATACGAAAATTTCTACTTCGGAAATGAGTTGCCCGGATGAGTGCGGAATTCCAATGCTTTTGTCACACATGTCAGTCTCTTTTTATACATACACTAAACGATTAGTGTTAAGAGTTGCTGTGTATTTGTCTTGTATTAAATGATTCTTATCTTACTTTGCCACTGAAAATAAATTGAAGAGTAATCACGTTTAAACAACAGTTGGTTCACAGCCACAGTCTTAAGAATTCAATTTTGGATAAATGTTTGTTGCAAACCGAAACGTGGCATCAGTCCATGAAGTTCCTAGCTTCTGGTCTGAGCCATGTTGGTAGATGTAGACTATATGATTGGGATCCTCGCGGCTATCGTAACCAATGGTCGGAGACTATTGATCACACTGGCGTAGGTGTATACACTTTGTCATCTTTTAAACCGTGAAATTAAAATTACTTAATACCTTTCTTTATTATATTCTAATATGAAATCTCCATATATTATTACCATTGAAGTAACAACCATGGATTTGATGTTCATTTTGTTGTGCTAATTAGGTGTGGCAACTTGGACCGTTGTATATATGTACCCCGTTTTACGTTGTAGCTGACTGATTGATGTTATCTGTCTATCAACCAAAGGACGTGTTTACTGAGCAGCAGTTCGTTCCGTCCTACTTTATGGCAGTGAAACATGGCCGATAAAAGTAGGGGGTATTGGTAGGTTACTAGTATTTGATCATAGGTGTCTTCAAAGCATTGCTCGTATATCCTGGGACCACCGAGTAAGCAACTCAGTTGTTAGGAAACGGGTACTAGGTAAGGATGGCAAATCAATTGATGAAATAGTGTTACGTATACCCAACCACCGACTGACCCGACGTGCTATGTTTTCTGGTGTAGGAGTAGGTTGGAAGAAAGCTAGGGGCAGCCAGACCAAAACATGGCACAAATCCATGAAGTCACTGACAAGTGGACTGAGTGAGCCATGTTAGTAGGTGTAGACTACCTGGTTGGGATCCACGAGACGATAGCAATCGATGGTTAGAGACCGTGAATGACATGGCTCAAAAACGTTTGCAATGGCACAGGTGCATTCACTCTGTGTTCTTCGAAATTCTAATCTTCTGAATTCTTCATTTTTTCTCTTTGCAAATTTATTTCACTGGATTTTATTCCTTGGATAACATTTTCATACCCTAATCTTTCCGACTACTGCTTATACTCTTACTACCTCTACCACAATGGGATTTGAATCGACAATTGTATCTCTGTGCTAATATTGTGTGGCAACTTGAACTGATGTACGTACGTATGAAGTTGCACGTTGTTACTGACTGACTGATGAATATTTATACGGTCACTAATCCGTTCTATTCTATTCACAAGACCTTATTTTTCTTCATTTTGATTACTGTTGACTATCACACCACCCCTCTAATCACGAAATTTTTTTTTTT